TCCATTATACTACAAGTGCAGGGGAAACTTCATTTTAACATGGAAAGATTCTCATTTTTCCAGAGCTGTAATGCAGCGTGCAGTTAAAATTAGGCTGTCTCGTTAATTGTCAAAGTATATGGTGAGAATTACCGCAGCCAGCTTCAGTGCAGGATTAGATACGCCTCTGCAGGGGAGACCTTGCAGAAAGCCCAAGGTGGGAGAGTAGCTCCATCAGGGCCCCTTCGATGAAATCTCTCCCTGGGGAGAGGTGCCCGTGGGTAGGGGAAAGCGTGCGGGGCAGCTCTCCTCCTTCCTCTCCCTATCTGCTCACGCTTGGCAGGAGCCCCCAGAGCACTGTCCGTGGAGCACTCCTCTGCGAAGCGTGTCCCGCGTCAGACGCCTGCAGAGTAAGGTCCCCTTGTGAAGGGTGATGAGTATCTGTTCCCACTCCCATTTCCCCAATTCCTGAGCTTAGCTGTACTGGGCCAGGGTAAAGGATGAGCAGAAATCACCCCAGCCTCTAAGCCTTGAGACAGTATGGTTATTCAGGAGTCAGGATCCCAGAAGCCTTCTCGTACCTATGGGATGTGGTTTATGTAGAGAAAAATCAGTTTCAATGAACACAACAAGGTTGAAATGCTTTTGAATGTACAAAAGAAAGCTGAAAGAAATCCCTGGGGAATACCTTTTTCTCATCTCTTCCCCACTATCCTTCTTCCTGTCTCCTTCTCAGTGTCGGAAACTTGCCCTTCAAAAAATCACCCACTGAGGAAAGCAGATCCTTCTGCAGGATGTGAAGGGAGAACAGGAGGGAAGGGTGAGTGAGAATTTTGCCATAAGCCTTTCCTCTTCCAGATCAGAGCTGTATAGCATATGCCAGGATGGCAAGTCAAGCTGTTGAGGACTTTCCATAGGACCCCAACCAGCTTTTATTTAAAAACAGTAAAAATGTTTATTTGGAAGGATACAAAAGCTTTCCTGAGGGTTCATTAATGAAGCTTAACTGTCCAATTTGAATGTGAGCACTAGCGCAGAATCTCAGCTGAAAGCTCCTGGTTCCCAAACACTGACTAACCTAACGACTGTGAATTAACACAAACGCAACCTTATCCTGCTGGGGACGAGGAGAAGGAAGGGGGCAAAGATGCTAGATACCTGCAGGCCAGACTCCCCAGGAAGTCAGCGGGAGCTTCGCTAGTGTAAGAACAGTATGACCAGACATAAATATAAAGGAGAGAGGATGCTAAGAAAAATATTTTTCACACATTTGTGTACTGAGGGGCCTATGAAGTCTAATGAGTGCAAAAGGCAGTTACTCTACTACAACATAACTCTCAGATACGCTGCTTTAGTCTATCTGTGTTGCTTTCGGTGTGACTCTGTTTCCTCCTTTGCATCTACTTATGAAAAATAAATTTACTAAGTTGCCTGATGATGCAAAAAAGACAGTTCTAATAAGCTTTAAAGAAACATCTCACCACGTTAGGTGCACAATATCCATTGGCATGCAGTATTTAGCTGCCTGATCAGATGCTTTTGAAAATCCACCTGGATGTCTGTCTGTCTATATATGCACCCAGTATCTCTGTAAATCTGATCTTTTTCCATCACCTTATCTGTTACTCTGTTCAGACTTCCAGGTACTAGACTTCGCCTCTGTTACCCAAATGTGTCGTACTTCGTAACTTAAAGAATCCACGTGTTTATCTTATCAAGGTAGGTGTCAAAGGCAATCTGTGATTTGAAACAAGCTACCTTTTCTTATTACAGATTAGAAGACAATGCAATTTTTTTTTTTAAAGCGTTTCATTTTTTTAGAAAGAACTACCTTATTTAAGAAATTAGTGTTTAGAAAACTAGAATTTAATTAAACTCAGCCACTATTGTTTTACCAATAAATTGTTGACTATGTTGCACCTAAAGACAAACGATTAGTGACTGGCAGCTTATGCTTCATCAAAGGAAGTTTAGAAATAGAGAAAATTTGCAGAGTTGGCTGTTTTGCCTGACATACACAAATGCTCTTCCAGTCTTCCCTGGCCATCTACAATGAGATCAGATGTAATTTAGTATGAGTTAGGTGCTGGTGAAGCAAAACAGTCAAACGTACTTGTATTTGTAAGCAGCATCCATCAAAATGCTCCAAGAATGGCTAGATCTGAGTAAATGCTGAGCTTTCTGTAGACAGTTCCTAAACATTCACTGAATTAGTGTACCACATATAGTCCAGAGAAATCTTGCTTTATTCAGATATGCAGGTTTTCATTTAATCTTAATATTCATATACTGTGTTCCTTTTACTTGCCCAAGTGTAACAGTATAATGGTTATGTAAACCGATGCTTATATTAAGATCTTATTTTGACATACATTTTGGTGCCATATGTAAACACCAAACACATATATAATAACCACCATTAGTACAAGTCTTAGATCCAATTAGGATGACAAATTTTTGTGATTTTTTTTTTTTTTTGGACAAAATAGCAATGTGAATTTAAATTTTTGCATGACTGAAATTTGTAATTAAAAGTCGTGTACGCAATTAAAAGTGAGGTAACAGTGGATTTGTTGCCTGACTACTTTACTAATGATTGCTTTAATATACCATTCACTTGTTAATGATGCTATCAATTATTTTACTGTAAATTAGCTATTGTGAGTTTGAGGTCTTTTTACAATGTCTGTGTTAGGTTACAGGAGCATAAATCAAACTCCCATCTCTTTTTACATCCATAACCATAACATACGGCTTTTATTAGAAAATGTTAAGTGTCTTATAATGTCTTCTTAATGGACAGTGTGTGCATGTGTTGATGATGAAAGCCATCTTCCTTCATGCAAAATATTAATGCATATGGCCTACATCTCCATAGATACAAGTTAGAGAGTCATATTTAACCCATGAAATATTCAGTACGCACTTCAACTTTGCCCAGAATTCATATTTCTCTAGTTTAACAATCCTTTAAGGAAAGAACAAGTTAGAGGTAAATCAAGGGTTGAATTCTACCAGGTACGCACACGTAATTGTGAATAAACAGTATAACATCCACTGCAAAAAAAATACCAAACTCAAATCACTTTATAAAAATCCCTATTCCTAAATGAAAATATGCATAGAGAATTAGAAGATGGAATTTATATTCTCCTAGAATTCCAGCTTGTACATCACAAAGAGTCTTAATATTGGTCATAGATTTTGTCCTCCAACCTAAAGTATCGTAATGCTTCCAAGCAAAAGGGTGTTTTAGCCTCTGTTTGTATCCTTTTCATTGGGACAGCATTACCCAATTTGGCTTTTGGACCATTCCACAAAATCTTGGACAAGCACACTGCTTTGACTTGAAATGTGTTTTACCAACAGATTCCTGGGCACCAGAGAGATCTGCTATTCAAATCAACGCCTGCTAACATTGGGTTTGATTAAAGGAAGCTAACTAAGCCTTTTGAAGGATACCTTCCAGCCTTCCCTCTGCGTTTCCATGTTCCCTTGGCAGAAATCGGGGATTTGAAAGCTGCAATTCAACAGCATCATCCTTTCATCTCGTGGTAAATATTTTATTATTCCTTTATCCTCCATGCTGTTTAAAGGAATTCATTTAAAATATTAACTTCTTTGTTCAGGGAGGAAATCTCCAAAGTGTATGCAAACTAGAATCTTTAGAAATGCACCAAGATATAACTCGAGGCTCTGCTCCAGCTTTCCCCATTCATTCAGTCTGCAGACCTGGCGGCTCCCTGCTGGAGATCTCTGCTCAGACCGAAAGCCTCCAGCAGCTGCTGTTCCACCACCCATTCATACACGACCAGCTCCCCTGTCCCCTGCTCCCTGCATTTCCACTGCTCTTTCCTCCATCCGTCCAATTTGCTCCCTAATCTGATCTCTCTTCTTTGATCCTCCTCAGGAACACTGATCATCCTCCCACACCAAAGCACCACTCATCCCTACTGAGGGCTGGCAGCAATTACGCTGTAACAAAGGTACATTTAAGAGAGGAGTAAAACCTATCCAAACCAATTTATTTGTGAAGGCACTATCCTTCATCTATTTTCCTGCGTATCAGTGTGGGTACCTTGGGGGTTAATCCTGCTGCTGTTCCTGAAGTAAATGTTTTCTTTACTTTTGACTCAGAATCAGGCCCTAATTAATGTAATTATCTTCCTATGCAATAGTATGAAAGGTACCTACTTAGAGGAGTTGGATGACTGTTTAAGACCATCTTTACCCACAGCTATGCTGTGAACTGCACCAGCGTGCGTTCCCTTTCCAAAACAACTGCAGGCACCTGGAGGGGAGGAGTTGTCCTTCAGTAGCCAGGCAAGAAGCCTGTCAAACACAGTGTCCCTTCTACATGAATGAACCCTCTCTTCTGATTAATACTTTGCATTTCCCACAAGGGAAAAGACAGAGTGAGGAGGTAAGTGAGCAACTGAATTACCCATTCTCAGAGCAGCATGATCATTAATATTTAACATGGTACGTATGAGAAAAGAGAAAGGAACAGTGTCCCTTTCCAGTCCAGGCTGAGAAACTCTCCAAATCCCGTAGTCCCACAGGGACTGCCTGATCCCATGATCCTTTCTCCATCTCATAAAGGGGAGAGAGCCGTTAGCTCGTAAGAGGGCTGGACAAGGTGTCTCTCTTTACTGGGGGATGACTGGCTGTAGAAGTCTGTGCATGGAGGGAAATTACCTGGTATAATGGAGATCTCCCTGGCCCGTGAATGGGACCCTGCCCCAGGCTGTGGGTTTTTAGGAGCCTGTTAGAAAATAAGGGTCTCTGGAAGCCCACATGTGAGTAGACGAGCTTATGCCTTGGTGTCCACTCGTGCCCCATGCATGGGGCCTGCTTGAGAGCGTGGGTTATGTCCCCATAGCCTGTGCGTGATTTTTGTATGGCCACACACGGATGGCTGCTCTGCTCTGACACTGGCGATAACCCTGATGATGCTGGGAGGAAGTGGGACTGAAGGGAGGTTCGAGTGTTTTGATGAGGGTGCTGATTGCATAGCTTACCCTTGCATATCTGGAGGAGTAGGGATCCTCAAAGAGCGCCCAGATGCGGGGCTGCCACCGTCTCCAGAAGCCCCCAGACCTGCCATCTGGGGAGTCACTAAGTGCTAGGCGTTTTGTCATCTCCAGCTCCTCTTCACCATCACCAGAGTCTCCGGTGCCATCTATGTCTCCGTCCTCGGCACTGCTATCCAGGGGCGCCCCACCAAAGCTGTCCAGAGCCTCTTCCGCGTCGCGGTGCTGCCGGTAGGTCATCCAACAGCAGGGCTCCACATCGGTCTCATCGATGCCCCAGAAGGCCAGCTCCTCCTCATACAGGGGCCCGCACACGTCCGCGGGGCAGTGCAGCTTGCCAGTGCGGTAGTAATTCAGGATGTGGGCAAAGACGCCCGGGTGCCGGTCAAAGAAAAACTCATCCGTGCGGGGGTCATAGTCGAAGTGGCTGTGGGCATCGGGTTCGGCGATCCAGGCCAGCCGAGTGCCGGGCAGGGTGCGTAGGGTGCTGCGGTAAGTCTGGTGCCTAGTCCCTCCCACGTTGATCACAATGCGGTCGCTCTCGTCGCCCTGGCCCATCTCGTCTCTTATTAGGCATGTCGCAGACTCATCCAAGCAAGCACGGCAGGCAGCAAGCCCGTAAGGGGACGGCTGCTCGGCGGCAGTCGGTGCCTAA